AGCGCCCGTCTCGAGAAGTAGTCTTACTACCTCCTCGTGCCCTTGCCTCGCCGCTAACAATAGTGGTGTCCAACCCCCATTATTCTTAGACTCTCGCTCAGCGCCCGTCTCAAGAAGTAGTCTTACTACCTCCTTGTGCCCTTGCCTCGCCGCCAACGATAGTGGTGTCTGACCCCCATTATCCTTAGACTCTTTATCAGCGCCCTTCTCGAGTAGTAGTCTCGTCAGCGCTTTGAGCCCTCTCTTCGCCGCTGAAATTAACGCCCGACTAACGTTGTCGGTCCACTCGATGTTGACCTTCGTCGAAGAACAGAGGAATTCAAGAAGTAAATCATCGCCATGCTCTGCTATGGCACGGAGGAGGCCTTTCTTTCGTGAGAAAGCGAAGGTGCGTGGGACATTGATTCGTTTGTTTCCAGGACGACAATATTGTTCGTACAGGTTAGGAAACGGAGACATTGTGGGCTGGGTACCTGCGTCAACTCCCAGTAATGTACGCACCGCTTCATCGCTTCCAGTAGCTAGGGCGGCGAGAATTGGTAGTCCGTAGCGTTCGTCTTCTATATCGAAACACGACGACTTAGACGAGTGAATTCCAATCAGACTTGACAAGTTGTTCTCCGCCAATATATATAGGAATGCCACGCTCGGAGTGTGTCGGCGTACTTCGTGTCTTTCGAACAGGTTGTCAATGCAAACCCATTCGGCAAGCTGGAACGTGCTCAGGAAATAACGCTGGTCCACCCCGTTGGCTTGCGCCTTATCGGCGTGCCATAGGACATTTTGCACGGCGTACTCCAGGAAAGGGAAAGTTTCGGCCGCAGATTCGCGCAGGTATGCTGCTTCTTTGGTAGCTGCTTTCGGAAGCGAGTCCAGATTACCAAGGCGGCTAGTAATGTCGATGTTGATATAGTTCAGACAGCAACCCGTTAGGCGCTGTTGGCTTTCTCCCTCGAAGTTGGTTCCATTACCGAAATCCGGCCACAACTCAGACAGACCGTTGTCTTTGAGGAGAAAGTCTCGTACTGATTCGTGAATGAACTGCACGGTCGGCATTTTCGATTTGGTAAGTTCAGCAAGTCCCTTCGAAGAATTCAACACAAAGCGGTTCATGTAGTCTGTGGTAATCTCCTCAGGGTTCCAGGCAGTCATAAACTCAGATCCAGGATCGAGGCCGGCCAACATGGCAAAGTAGAATTCTTCTCGCCGTAGCGGCCGATGTGCAAACAGTATCCATTGGAGACAGAGCAACAAATCGTCCATATTAGCACAATCCTTCCTCAAGATGTCTTTGAAGAGTTTGCTAAGCTCCGCAGGTATCTCCTGGAGTTTTTTCTTGACTGCAAATATGCGGCCGCGCTTGAATTCTTCGTTAAGCATCGGAATGACTAAAACCGCCCACAGGAAGACACCATTTGCCTTTTCGCGTATCTGGGTTCTGACTTCCTCAATGACTTTGCCCTTTCCAGCTCGGAGATGGCTTTGGATATACTTTCCAAGGTCCTCGGCATGACCGTCTTCGTATTCCAATGTCAGTTGCCCACCATTCCGAATGTCGATCGTCGGATAATGGCGACTTACGAAGCAAACGTAGAGCTGCGTTCCATGGTCGAGTGCAGTTTGTCCTAGCTCTTCAAAAAAGAAAACCATATCTTGAATTTGCTGCTCGTCACACTCATCGAGGGCATCAATGAAGCACTTTAGCCGTCGGTGGCCGAGCCTTGTGACAGCTGCAGACAGAAGCCCACACAGCCTTTCTGTGGTCCAGACCGAAGAGTCGCCTCGATCTTCCATATCATCTAAATCGTCCAACAGTTCCTGCAAGTCCGCCGTTGCTGTGAGGAGCTGAAACAGCAGAGCTCGGTACATGCCAACTGTCGAATACTCCAGCTCGTCCCCTCTGGCGTTGAAGAAGAAGGAGAGGAGAATCTCACTCTCAGGTCTTGCCTTGGCAGCACGGGCCAGAGCGAATTTCACCAACGTGGATTTGCCGGCGCCCGGCTTCCCATTGATCCATAAAAACCCACGGTGGTGGTGTATTTGCTCTGGATCATTCCAGTCCCGGTAAGCAGAGTGCTTCAACAGCCATTGGCAGGTTGTGGAGTATGCGGGTTTGATAGTAGACCGGCGGGAGTCCATTTGATCAAAGCCGAGGGAAGCCAGAATCATCTTTCGACGGTCGAGCAATGTTGGTTCTACAATAGAATTCGAAGTTGATCGAAGACTGCGTACAACAAGGTTACTGGAATTTGAAGGAACAGGACCTTGCCCAATGCCCTCCAGTTGCCTCCGATAGGCTTTCGCGATTTCGTCCTTCAGCCGGTCAAAAGCTTTGTCTCCTTCGCCGTAAATAGGAGGCATGGACACATCAAAAATCCCCAGAAGACAGTATGCCCTATCTTCGGTCCTTTTAGTCTCGCGTCCGGATGCCCATCGCATCCGCTCCTCATGAGTAAAGTCTTTTAAGGGCTTCCCACGGAGAGCTATTTCTGGGATTCGTGTCATTTCGGAGACGACCTGCCCAAGTGTGTCTTTGTTGCCCAGCGGCACTCCTTCCCGAGAATAGAACTCGACTTGTTCCGGAGCAAGAAGTTCTTGCAGCGTCCAGCCCCGAGTAAACCACCTGCTCTTCCGGAACGCTGATTCCCAGATTTGAGTAGTATCTCCTGTGTGGTCGCGTTTACAGGCCGAAACATCGGATAGGAACACGTAGCACTTTTGTGCCTCAGTGTACCATCGAAACATTGACACGATAGCTTCTGAGAGTTCGACCAGATTCGTCTTATCAATACAGCATGTATCGATCCAGAAATGTCGCAGGCCATCCTTTCGCGCTCGGTCCGCACAGAACTGAATCTTGTTGTATCCCTCCTTACCGGCGCCGAGCCCGTCTATTAGATCCTTGGCAGTCACCTCCTCCTTATCCGGTCCCCATGTGTGTGAAAGAATTGCGTAGGGTGGAATGTCTGCGGCCAGGTCGTCGGTAAGGCTGAGCTCACCACGGTCACCAATTTCGAGTAGGCGCATCGTTGGAATGTGATTCTCGACGGATGGAGAGACTAGAGTTTGGCGGCGAGGATAACAGAGTAGGCATTCCAAGAGAATGCTTGCTTGTGGGATGAGTCTTGCGAACTCAGCCCGTCCGACTGAGATGCAAACAGAGCCGACGCCTTGTAATTTCAGTCAGGTGTTGGGACACGAGGTTCGAAGAAGTCTCGCGGTGGTTGGAAAGGCGTGCTTTCGTATGTCCGAAACTCACGTAGCCAGTTTACGAGGTTTGGAGACAACAATGTTCTCGGTACGCTCAGCTGGAAGTTTTCAATGAGCTTGAACAGAGCATACAAGGAAAGAATCTCAGGTCAGGCTGTAGGGCAGCTCAGGCACCAAGGCGCCAACAACGGTCGCCAAAGTTCCATGCAGAGTACCAAAGGGCAACACGAAGCCGAGTCCGAGGGCGCATCGTTGGTCTTGCGGGCTTGCCTCTTTCTCAGACTAGCCCACAGCGAGGTAGCGAAGCTGGGCCAATAAGAGGCCGGCGTCTGCAGCATCGCCGGCTGTCCATGTCGAGAGACAGACCTTTGGATAGGGATTAGTGAAGAGAGGCGAGAAATGCGTGCATCAAAAAGGTGCACCTGGGGGAGCCGAATGTTGAGCTTAGCGGAAACAACGCCTCACAGGCCGCGGAGGAGAAGCGGGGGAAGCTTAGCCTTAGAATGGTTACCTTTGGCCCCCTAGAGCAGTAGCCAACTCATCGGTGGTGCTTACCTGCTTTACTGCCTAGGTAGGCTCCTCCAGAGCCTCCCTGCCTGCCAAGAACTGGAGTATGCCTTGCTCGTTTCATTGCGTCCTAACAGAGGAATTGGGCCGAGTATGGAAACTAGACGACTTGCTACAGGACATCCAACTCTAGCATCGTTCCTCAGCAAAACTCGAGGGCTTTGCCACATATCTTGTGTTAAGCTACGCGGCTCCGAAGCAGTCTGGTCGAGTAAGCTACAATAACGAACAGGTCGGTGACTACACAATGGATGGGCTCATCCTAAACGAATAGTCTTCCACTGCATGCTCGAAGCAAACTTCTCGAACCATTTCTCCTGGTGGAACGACTCAAGGAAGCCTCTACGATATGCGACGCCATGTTGTGGTGTAGCTCTTGAAAACCAAGTACCGAGAACGTTCTGTTACGGTCCGGTGTGTTTGAGGTGTGGTGGGAGGCTCAGGGCTTGAATCTGCCAACACTGTTTCTATCTCCGCGAGGTGTCCATTTTGATCCTCAACGCTCACGGGGGCAGCGAAGTCCAGGATCGTCGCATCAAACATCATTTGCGAAGACAAGTATCCGATGCGACATGGCGTCGAGGCCCATGACCAGGATGGAAATGCCTCGCGCTTACGTTCCGGGAGGGGAGATCCTGGTGGAGGATTGACATACCACAACAATCCGTACAGAAACCCAATCTCAACCCGCCGGGGGACAAGCTTGTTGGAGTCCCAGACCGGAATGCCATAATAACTGGGCTTATCCAACGTGCTGAGGACCCCTCGGAATGCATCAATTGCGTCCCCCTCGAATGTCAACTGTCGGCTCGAGTAGTCTTTGAGCTGGAGCATGAAGTCAGGGTCAAAGACTACCCCTGGCTCGACGATTGGAGAAGACCATTGTGTAGTCAAGACGCTGCTCCGCAGACCATGTCCCAACATATTCCCCGCGGCTGGGATGATACTGGGATTAGGCCGGCACAAGCTCTCGGTCGTGATACCTTGGGAACAAAGGTGAAAGACTTCAGTCGAAGTAAAGAAAAGGCAGCATGTCGAGAGGAAGTGTTCCTGATAGGTCCAGCCCCGAGTTCTCCATTTCGAGTCTCGGATATACGTGCTGAGATCTGGGAGTATTGGACTCACCAGGCAGCCTGCCGCTCTTACTGTCATTTGTTCAGGCCTTGCAGAGTAAATTCCTGGCAATCCCGTCGCAGCGTCTGTCCCAAGGGAAACCAGTGTGACGGTCGCGCCCGAAAATATCCCGGCCATGCTGCCAATTTCGGTCTTGACGTCTTCAATGGAATTTTGTTTGATGCAGCAACTGTCAACCCAAAGGTATTCAAGACCAAGATTTAGCACAGCTGTAAGAGCATCCTCGATGGTTTGTGGCAAGTCGTCGTCCAGTTGCATCGTCGGCTTGGTGATAGTCGACAATTGGGCTTGGATTTTAGTACCCCATACATAACTCAATGCCGCGTATCGAGTGCTCCTATCGCCATTCTCCACGACCGTCCGGCTTTTGCAGTGAATCAGCCATCGTGGACGTGACTTGACTGCAGGCCCACCATAGGCAGATGTGCAAATCGGGTGGGTTTCCTCGCACTGCTTGATCAAAGACTTGAGAAGCTCAAAGTTGACTTGATCGGGTTGAATACTTCGAGCGTGAAAATGAAACTCCTCCGAGGCTTGTGTTTTTGGGCAGTCAGGACGAGACGGAACGAGACTGGGCGAATACCATCCCGTCTCATCGTCCAAAAGTGGCTTCGTTGAGGTTCCCGCGACAGTGCTGCATACCACCGGCAGCCTCTTTGTTCTCCATTCTTGCGTGTACGGTATGACTAGCTGACCAAAACAGCTGAAGACTCGTAGATGCCACACTGGAGTTTCCTGCTCGAAGTCCGGGTACACTCGTCGTCGGGAAGAGTGGATCATGGACACAAACAAGTTGCAGAGCTCGCATGCTGGCTTCTCCGATGGTGGCGGAATGGGCCCCAAATCCAAAACTGTTAAACCCTTGTCATCGAGAGTATCTGACGGTATAGAGAAGAATAGTCCGAAGTCGATTTCCCTGCAACGTGCACAGAGTCTGTCGTCAACGGCGGGGATCGACCCGTCGCCGTGCCGAGCGAGCATATTCTTCATCCCCAAAGCTTATTTGGAGGTCAAAAGTATTGCGACCTCGAACCATCGTCGTTCATCCAAAGAAATGCAAGCAATGCTCTCGTAGAGTGTTATTGCCTCAGGGACATAAACCCTCTCATATCAGCAGCCCAAATAATAGTCCCTACTATATGTGTCTCTTGTAGAGATAACTCACCCACCAAAAGGTTCTGAGATCTGAATATGGGATTTAGATCCTTCATCGTCTTGGCGAGCCCCGTCTTGGAGGACAAGTCCGCTTAATTATTATTATCTTGAGCACTCCACAGTCCGTTTTCGTTTCTTAGACCTGAGCCATGACTGAACCAAGCGTGTATAATCCCAAGGAAGCCCGAGCGTCAACTGAGCACAGCTCGTGCGCCTGTACAAGCCCGCCTAGGCTTCCGGTTTTATAGCTGTTTCGCGTTTTCGGAAGGCAAAGCTCCGTGCCGTCAATTAACTTGGTCATTGATGCCAGGCTGGGGGCCAGCTGTCCCGCGCGTGCTGCCCGCTCGGGAGGGGCACTCATTTGGGTCACTCGCCGTACTAGTAGGGGATGACCGTATGTCGACGGAAAGCCGTGTACCTCGTACATTGACTGTCGCTGGGACGTGGTCCTAGTAAACGCTGGGTGAGTACATCGACTAGTGCGTCGATGGCTCGACAACAAGTGTTACATCGCCGCCTACGAGTGGCTTCAGGAATGCCTCATCCTTCGCAGCCGGAGCAGTGAACCTGGACCAGGTCATTCTGCGCAACCCGGGGTACTGTCGGAGTGTGGACCCCGGTACATAAGTCCGCCTTTGAGAACTATGTAATTGAGCATTGCGGCTGCTTGTTCTCGATAGAGAAGAAAGGGCGAGTGGAACTAGAGAGTGAAGAACTGGAGAGTTGCTGTAATATGCGTGGTTCAGCGCCGAAGCTTCTATGAGCCAGCTGCATCGATTCCAAAGGGCTAAAGAATGGCTATTCCCAATCATCGAGGCTGCCTAAAGAGACATGAAACCTAGCCTACGCGCCCGGGAGCACGATGAGGCTGCAGCCCGGAATCGCCATTGACTATCATACCGCCCCCAAGAACCCAGGCATGTCTAGGTCTTCCGTCGAACCTGATTCACCACTGCCGTCCCGAGAGCCAGCTCTAGAACAAGAGTGAGGGATGAAGAACGGCACCAGTGTGTGTTCACCCCCGGCTCGCGCCAGTCTGGGGATGGTCGTTGCCGTATCATCAACCATAGACGCCCATGTCGAGCCCTGGATGCGCCGACGCTCGCTGCGTTTCCACTGTTCAACTATGATACCTTCCATCAACTTTGTCGTTGCTTGCAGTTGACAAGAGATCGTGCCTGAGGGTTTGAGTGTGTATCCAAGCCGCAGAGCTATGGTTATCACTCAGTATTAACACGCAAGTTTGTACCACCGTTGTTATTCATGCCCAAGTATAGGCATTGCTACCATCATAGTCAAGCCTATCGCCCCCGCCCTCCCCAGACTCGTTCAGCCATGTCGATGCTATTCCTCCTGCTGCTTCTCGAGGCCAGTCCCGCCACGCTGGCGGCGACGTGCTACAACAGCATCGGCAACCAAGATACAAGCCTGGTCGCATGCGACCCGAACGCCGAGTCCAGCGCATGCTGCAGCCCCGGCGACATGTGTTACAGCAACGGCCTCTGCCAGCCCGGTCCGGAGCAGCCGAACAAAGGCCTCACGCCGTACTACGTCGACGGCTGCACGGATCCAAGCTGGAACAGTCCTGTGTGCATGGCACAGTGTTTGAATGGTCAGATTTTTGGCACAAACGAGCACCTTTTCGGGTGGAGAGAGAGCTGACAGAGAGCCAATAATAGTGACCGGGAACGGTGTGGACACCTGCGGCGGCCTCAACCAGTACTGCTGCTATGGGTTCGGGGGATGTGACTGCTCGGATTCGACCCAGGTCGTCAGCATTGCGGCCGGAATTGTCATTACCACGTTGCCGATGACGCCCTCGACAACGAGCAGCAGCAGCAACTCGGCGACAAGCTCGACGACGTCTGTCCCCGGCAGCAGCACCGACGGCGTCCGAAGCGCAACGACCACACCAGCCTCCAAATCATCAGGCTCCACGAGCGCGCTCGCATCGCCTACCG